TAGCGAAGAATTTTCTTTGGAGATGTGTGATATGAAGCTTGATTTTGGTAATAGGAATAGAAAATTTGAAGAGAAGAAATCCTTTTGCATAACCCAATGCAGTATTTTTTGGATGAGGTCACAGAGGCCATAAAGCACAACATTCGAAAGGGTTGCTGGCGAAGGAGGTCTTTCCACCAGGCACCTAATGACCACATTGAAAACAATTATCCCCTTTTTTTTTCCCATTGTGAAATAAACAATACATCCCAAAGTGCATGCAAATACAAAAAATGCATATCTAGAGCCAATGGAAAGACAAATACTCCATATGTGCCCACCAGCCAGTTGAGGAATAGAGCATATCCGTGTTCTGTTAAGCTGGATTGTAAACTCTTTGGAGCTGTATCCACTGAGTACGGAATACGTGCTAGGCCCTTTGCAGGTGGTGTCTCCATTAATCCCCAGAGCAACCTAACAAGGGGGTATGAGTGTTATCCCCATTTTACGGGTGAGGAAACTGAGGTTTGGAGGGGTTCAGCTGTCTATCATGGGCTCACGTGATGAGAAGCAGGTGTGTGATGTGTGGGTTTTCAGAGGCCTCGGACTCTTGGCTGTGTGGTGTCAGTAGGTTAATGATGTCTGGTAGGGTGTAGTGTTTTCCAGTTCCGGTGTCCCACTCCGGACATGGACAAGGTTGGCCTTGGCTCCAGAGCGCTAAGGTGGGTGAGTCCCCAAAGTTGGGGAGGCCCTGGCATCAGTCTCGTTTGCCCAGGGGTCCTCTCTGGCCACCTTCATCTCCTACCCACCCCTGAGTTCATGGCGGGATGGGGATTCCAAGAGGCAGGGGTTTGTTTCCAAGCCCAGAAAGGGTCACCCGGGGGGCTGCTGCATGACCGTGTCTGCTTGCACCAGTGAGTGATGGATGAATGTCCTATTTCCAGAGAAGGGACGTGAAGCGCGTGTGCAGAAGTCAGAATTGCCCGAACTGGAGTTTTCGGTGTCTGCTGTCTTCCATCCGTCTTGGTGTCTCCGAGTCTCCTGTCCTCCAAGCCAGGCTCACATCCCACCCTCCCAGGGCAAAGCCCACCCGCCGTGGTCATTCCCATTCTTTCTATATAGTCTGGATGATGGAGGGCTTTGGAATCTCTAGTCTTTGCTTGTCCGGGCCTTGTTGGGTGCTCTATCCATGGAAGGTGCTCGGCTGACCTGTTGGATGCAGAAGGAAATGCGCTCCTGGCACGCTCACCTCTGCTGGGGGGCCAGGGATCTGGCAAAGCCCTGGTCAGCAGCCACTTCAGATCACCTTTTTGGGTCACTGATGGGCGGGGCTTCCTAGAGCAGGACTGGAAACTTCCTTTCCTGGGGGGCCTAGGAGCTCGCCGGGGGTAAGTGCACTCTTCTCCCCACATGTTCAATTTGGATGTAAAATAGCAGCGGGTTACTTCCAATAACTATTGAAAGGAGTAACGGGTCTCTGGGTGAATTTCTCTTTTTTAAAAAAAAAGATTTTATTTATTTATTTGAGAGAGAGAGAGAGTGCCACAAGCAGGGTGGGGAGAGGCAGAGGCAGAGGGAGAGGGAGAAACAGACTCCCCGCTGAGAAGGGAGCCCGATGCGGGGCTCGATCCCACCACCCTGGGATCATGACCTGAGCTGAAGGCAGACATTCAATGAGTGAGCCACCCACGCGCCCCTCTGGGTGAATTTCTATTGTGATGAGCTGTGGGTTTGAAATCAGGTTTGTTGCTTGCTCTGCCAGAGGGTGGGGGAGCCAGCTGCTGTTGCGGCCCAGAAAGCCTGAAGAGATACAGAGCCCTCTAGGGCTCGAGCATGAAACCCAAAGCAGCCCTGTTCCTTAAATTTGTTTCTTAAATCTCTTTCTCCGGGCCAGTAGGGGTTCATTCATTCATCCCTTCGTTTAAAAATTATTTGCTGAGCACCTATTATGTGCTCAATGCCGAGAATTGTAAAGGAGTTTCTTAACTTCTAGCGGTTTTCTAGAATGTGTGGAATATAAGATCGACCTGCATTCTGCTTGAGTGTTACAGGATACGCTTCACGTGCGTGCTTCTGGACGTGGACTGCATGAGAAATGGAAGCGATTTGGTTTGTTCAGGTGGTTGGATGGGGGTGGGGGGAATATTTGTTTCCATTTCAAGTTCCCGTATCATCTGCGCACTTCGTGAACAGGAGGGGCTCTCTCGGCCCCCCCTCCATGAGCCACCATTAAGGAAGTGGGGACATTTAACCTGGAAGAGAAAATACTGGGACCAGAGCTGCTTTCAGACCCCTAAAGTGCCGTCCTCATGCCTTATTTGGTAGAATTTGTCTGTGAAGCCGTCTGGTCCTGGACTTTTGTTTGTTGGGAGTTTTTTGATTACTGATTCAATCTCCTTGCTGGTAATGGGTCTATTCAAATGTTCATTTTGGTCACACCTCATTTGGCGAGGCCTTAGACTGGTGACTCCCAAAGAGGTTCTGGGACAAGCAGCCTCCGTATCACCTGGGAACACGCTAGAAACGCAGGCGTCTCAGCCCTGTCCCAGAAAGGGAAACACCAGGGCTGGGGCGTGGAATCTGTGTTTTGATGAGCCCCCTGGGTTTGAGGACCACAACTCCACATTTTATTCAGTTGGGGCGGGTATGGGGTGGGAGGGGCTAGGACTCTGCATTTCCTACAAGCTCCCAGGGGACGCAATTTGACTGTTGGCCCGAGGAGCACGCGTGAGGACCTGGTGTACAAGGCAGTCAGTCTGTCTCTGGCTTGTGAAAGATGGCATTTGGATATAGCCGTCCAACAAAACACCATGGTGCTGTGAAAAGGAATGAAACCGAGCTGTAGGCACCAACATAGAGGAATCCTCCAGATTATTTTGAAGCTAAAAAAGTAGATTTTGAAAATATCTTTGGATAAGTTTGCTTCCATTAAAGCCAGGATAGTAAAATCATCATAAATTCCATTTTTGTGTAAAAAAAAAAATTTAAACATTTTAAAATGTGAGTTTTAATTCAGCTACTTTTCAGTTGTTCAGTATATTTTTTTCAACAGCTAGCACATTATGGGGAAAAGAATAACCGTTTAAAAAATACATGAAAACATCTACATAGAGTGCTCGTCTTTCCTTTTGCCTCAAGCTCCAGGATGGCACTGTTGGGTCTTGTCCTTGTTTAAGATTTTGATAACTGGGTCCTGTGGATTTTTTTTAATGTGCTTCGATTTTTGAAATATTATCTCACTTGACCAATGAATTTTTGGCATGCCCTTAAATTTTGCATCTCAGGCTTTGGGGATTCCCGTAGGGGATGGCTCAGCTGGCCTCTGGGCTCTAAGATGGTCTGACTGTGGGGGCCGCCCCCTATCTGTTCCCCGTACCCCAGCAATACTCGCCCTTTAGAGCCTTCGTTAGGTCTGACTTACATCAGTTCATGTGACTTTCTGCCCTCACAGTCAGGATGAGTGCTCTTAGTGGAAATAGGGAGGTCTGTGCTTTCATGAGGCTGAGCTCCCTGGTGGAGATGGCACATGGGAACTCTCCATCTAGAAGACAAGCCCCACTGGTATTAGCCTATTGCTAAGGCCAGCATGAGATCTAGTTTGGAAACGCTTTCATAACCATAGCAGATGCCACCCATGTCCCGCCCACACCCCTGGCTCCTGCCATTTCTGGGCACACCCATCCACGTTGCAGCTGCCCACACCTGCACCTCTGCCGGAGAGTGTTCTTGCTGGCACAAGACAGGGAAGGAGAATCGGCACCCCCAGGGACGGCCCCTGACAGGCTGCTGGAGTGGGGCGGGGGTGGGGGAAGACCCTAGCCGTGAGGGGCAGGATGACCCAGAGGTAAGTGTTCTACCTTGTCCGGTGGAAGTGGACTCTGGTCACCCACAGCAGTGACCGCCTTGCTGTCCCCACCTTGTAGGGCTCCTTCCTCTCGCTGCCCCACCTCTTCACTCACCGACAGGCGCTGCTGGGATCTTTGTCACGGGGTCTGTTCCCAGGAAAACCGCAACTAAAATAAAAACAAGGTTTACTCTGCCCACTATAAAATTAAAACAGTAAGGCATACAAGTGGGAAAGCCAAAACCCTTCCTCCCAAAGCCAGGTGGTGTTTCTTTGCTAAGTTTGCATCGAACCCTTGTAGACATACTTTGTCTCCTGCCTTAATCATTTTTCTCATGTTGAATCCCTGGTCAGGCTGATTTTTTTTTCTCTCCCTATTTTTTCTACCCCTCAGCTCCTGGCAACTGTTTATCCACTCTGTTCCTATGGGTTTGACTTTTCCACACATAAGTGGTACCACGCAGCATTTGTCTTTCTCCGTCTGGTTTATTTCACAAAATGCCCTCACCGTTCATCCATGATGTTGCAAATAGCAGGGTTTCCTTCTTTCTCATGGCTGAATAATATTCCATTGTATAAATATACCACATCTTTTTAATCCATTCATTCGTTGGTGGACACTGAGGTTATTTGCATGTTCTTGGCTGTTGTGAATAATGCTGCAGTGAACACGGGTGTGCCGATGTGCCTTTCAGATCCTCTTTTCATTTCCTTTGAGTATATATCCTAGATGTGGGATTTCTGGATCACGTGATAGTGCTATTTTTGATTTTTGGGAAGCCTCCATACTGGTTTCCATATGGCTGTGTCAGTTTACATTTCCACCAACAGTGCACGAGGGTTCCCTTTTCTCCACATCCTCAAGGACCCTTGCTACCTCTTGTCTTTGATGGTAATCATTCTAACAGGTGGGAGGTGATTCATATTCTCCTGACGATCAACGGTGTGGAGCACCCTGTCATGTACCTGTTGGCTCTTTGCATGCCTCCTTTGGAAAAAGGTCTATTCAGTTCCTCTGCCCAGTTTTGAACCAGGCGGTTTGGTTTTTTGCTATTGGGTTGTGCATCATGGTTTTTGTTTTCGTTTTTGTGCATCATGTTTTTAAATGGCTTCGTGGTTCGGAGGCTCTGGCTTGGCTGTGACCCACTGGTGATGTGTCTGCCCATCGACCTTACAGGCATTCGCCCCTATAAATGTGACATCTGCAACAAAGCCTTCACCCAGCGCTGCTCCTTGGAGTCCCACCTGAAGAAGATCCACGGGGTGCAGCAACAGTATGCCTACAAGCAACGCCGGGACAAGCTCTACGTCTGCGAGGATTGTGGCTACACGGGTCCCACCCAGGAGGACCTGTACCTGCATGTGAACAGTGCCCACCCGGGCAGCACCTTTCTCAAAAAGACATCCAAAAAACTAGCGGCTCTTTTGCAAACCAAGCTGATGTCCACGCGCCAGGGGAATGCCAACCTGAGTGAGGAGGAGGAGAAGTGAGGGGGGCGGAGGCAGCCAGAGCCACCGTGTTTACGGGGATTTGGGGTTTTGAAGGTCCCCTGCCCCACTTGGGTTCAGTTCATCCCTCTGCCCTTCTGGGGCCTGAGCAGGGGGATCTGTTCTAAGGGTTGTTGATGATAATAGTGGTGTCTGGCCCCCCCCACCCCCCGTAACCCACATCCTGTTGAACAGTCAAAATTAACAAAAGTTTGTGGATGGTCATGATCGCCATGAGGAGTTTTTTTTTTTTCTTTCTTTCTTTCTCTTTCTTTCTTTCTTTCTTTCTTTCTTTCTTTTTCCTTCTTTCTTTTAGGATTTTCACATGTGGAGGCAGAGGTGCTCTTAGAGAGACTCATTTTATGGTGCCTTGAAATAAAAGTACTTCCACTTACCATGCTACTCAAGCAAGGAAAATGAATTTTATTATTCCGAAAGAGTTTACAGGAATTATTTTAATAAATGAAATGTTCTTGTGGAAATTTCCTCATAAAAACAAAACAGAGCATTGAGTTCTAGCTCCCTGTTTAGGGCCTAATGTGTGACATTCGACTTCAGGTTCTTTGGGGTGGGTGATTTTGTATTGGTGGGTGGGTTTGAGGAAGCAGATCTTGAGCACTGGGTCGGAGGGCAGCTGAACAGATGCCCCAAGGCGGATGGGCAGATATGCCTGGGGTGGACGGGGAAGGTTACTCATGGATGCTTTCGTCACTTTTTGTGTCCCTGGGGTCACTGTGGAGATGCTTCTGGCTTTCTGGGGCAGGGACTTGCTGGCTGCAGGCACTTGCCCCTCCCTTGAGTCTGGCCCTGGTGGAGAAGCCGCGAACTCGGGACCGGGAGGAATGCTGGCTGGCCTGGTGCACGCTGTGCCCTTGTGGGAGGGACAGCAGTCTCCTTCGGGGCATGTGACTGCTGAGCTTTGTGACCTTTGGCCACCCGCATCTCCTCACCTGGGAGGCCTGCCCCAGAGGCCCAGGAGGTTCACGATAAAGCAGACCTGAGGCGGAGACCTGAGGCGGAGATCGGGCAAAGGAGAGGCAGGAGCCTCTGGGGATGAGAGGGGTGGCCAGATGGTTTCCAGGGTCCTTTGGTGACTGGAGGGGTAGCAGGAAGGGCCCGAACCCTCGGAACCATGGTGGCCGAGAGAGAGATTTTCCCTAGTCCGGGGAGCTGCCTGAACAGACGAGAGTGCTGACCCACTCTACCCTGCGGTCCTTCGGCTGCCTTCTCCTGGTGCCCCGGGTCTGAGGGCCCCAGCCTCATTTCCACCCTGGAAGAAGAAGAAAATCTTGCATCAGGACCAAGCCGCTTCTTGGTCTGGGGAACATTTGGGTGATGGCGCCATTTTCGTACTTCCTCCCTCCTCCCCCCTCTTCCTCTCCTTTCCTCTCCCTCCACCTCTCTCCCTGCTTCTCTCCCCCCACCCCCCACCTTCCAATGTCCTCCTTTCCCACACTGTGGGCCAGGCATTATGCCAAGATCTGGACAATTTCAGTGGCATGGCAAGTGAACATTTCTCTTGCAAGTCCACTCCTCTTTCTTTTCTTTCTTTTTTTTTTTTTTTAAAGATTTTATTTATTTATTTGACAAAAAGAGAGAGCGAGAGCAGGAACGCAAGCGGGGGGGAGTGAGAGAGGGAGAAGCAGGCTTCCCGCTGAGCAGGGAACCCAGTGCGGGGCTCGATCCCTGGACCCTGGGATCATGACCTGAGCCGAAGGCAGACGCTTAACGACTGAACCACCCAGGCGCCCCACCACTCCTCTTTCTTAATGGAAGAAATAAACCTTCTGTGGAGCCCCTATGATGTGGGGGCACCCAGCTTGGCACCCCTGGCTGCACAGCGTTCTTTGGAACAATCCTCAGAGCACTCCCAAGGGGGTCAGCATCCTGGTGCCCAGGAGCAGATGAGGCAGCCGCAGGGGCCATCGGCTGGTGGCCAGAGGAGAGGGCCAGGAATCCTAACTCTGGTCAAAATCCCCCTTTCCCCCTCCCCACCCTTAAGAAAGGAAAGAACATTCCCCCACCCCCACCCCCCCCACCCCCGGTTCAATTAGGCCTATGCAAGAGGCAGGCATGAGACGAGGGCAGGCTTTGGGAGATCCTCACGCCTTTGGTTTCTCTGAACGGCAACACTCCGTACCCCAGAGCCATCCTGAAGGGTCACCATGGTCCTAGGGGCTCTGCCTCGCGTGAAGGTCCAGGAGCTTGGTCTACGTGGCCACGTACAAGCATCCGCGGTGGCTGGGGATGCACTTGGGACCGGAGCAGCAAGCAGAGTGGGATGTTGTGAAGGCCACATGGTGCAGCCTCCTGGGACAGCCAGTGCCAAGGCCTCAGCCCTGGCTGCAGGGGGCCAATTGCTGACATCCTGTTGTCTCCTAGCACTTGATACAGGGGAGAGCGTCTAGAAAGCATGATTTGCTCTCCACAGTGCTCTGGGTAATTTTGACAACAAAAATGAGTATTCCTGTAAGGGACGATCTAAATGACTAGCTGGGGCAGCTGGCCTGTGGTCTGGTTTGCACAGGGAATTGTGAACTAGCTGACATGATGTTCTCTTTAGGGATGGATTTTTAGTTATTGATTAAAAAAAATTTTTTTTTTCTTTTTTAAAGTAAGCTCTATGCCCAACATGGGCTTGACCTCATGACCCTGAGATCAAGAGCCCTATGCGCCACTGATTGAGCCAGCCAGGTGGCCCTGGCACAGATTTTTATTAAACAGAACTCTTTTGGTTGCAAGTGACAGAAACTCAGTTTAAAATGACTTTATCAGGGGCACCTGGGTGGCTCAGTTGGTTAAGTGTCTGCCTTTGGCTCAGGTCATGATCCCAGGGTCCTGGGATCGAACCCCACATTAGGCTCCCTGCTCAGTGGGGAGTCTGCTTGTCCCTCTCCCTCTGCCCCTCCCTCTGCCCGCTTGGCCTCTCTCTCTCGGTCTCACTTTCTCTTTCAAATAAATAAATAAAATATTTTTTAAAAAATGACAAATAAATCAATTAAATTAAATGACTTTCCCAGGAATGCCTGGCTGGCTCAGTTGGTGGAGCATGCAACTCTTGATCTCAGGGTTGTGAGTTCGAGGCCCACATTGGGTGTAGAGATTACTTAAAAATAAAATCTTTTGGGGCTCCTGGGTGGCTCAGTCGTTAGGCATCTGCCTTCGGCTCAGGTCATGATCCCAGGGTCCTGGGATCGAGCCCCGCCTTGGGCTCCCTGCTCAGCAGGAGAGTCTGCTTGTCCCTCTCCCTCTGCCCCTGCTTGTGTGCTCTCTCTCTCTCTCTCTCACTTTCTCAAATCAATAAATAAAATCTTTAAAAAAAAAAAAGTGGGGCACCTGGGTGGCTCAGTTGTTAAGCATCTGCCTTCGGCTCAGGTCATGGTCCCAGGGTCCTGGGATTGAGCCCCGCATTGGGCTCCCTGCTCAGCAGAAAGCCTGCTTCTCCCTCTCCCTCTGCCTACTTGTGCTCTCTCTCTCTGTCACATTAATAAATAAAATCTTAAAAAAAATAGAATAAAAAAAGTAAAATGACTCTAATAGAAAAGAGAATGTATTGGCTGACAAATCTAGGGTTGTTCCAGCTCCAGGGATGGCTGGATCTAGGTGCTTAAATCATGTTATCACTCATCTTTCTGTCTTGTATCTGGTTTTCCTGAAGGTGACTTCTATCTCAGGCAGGTTCAAGTGGGGATCTCATGGCCAACCATTGCTCTGGACTCCTGTCCCATAGTACAGCAGCTCAGCAGAAGAAGGGTTTGTCTTTCAGCCAAAGATCTTGGGCTGATGCTTCTTGTCTCTAAGTGGCTTGATTTGGCTCTTGGTTCCATCCTGAGACTGTCACTGTGCTGTGGGAGATAGGGGGCTTGGTTGGCCCGGGCCTGAGCCATGCTCCTGCCTCTTCTGAAGTCAGGGTGGTATGAGCGGGTCAGCTACACCACTGGCTTGGGAGTAGGAAAGTGGTTCCCCAGCAGAGAAGCGGGTGCCATGACCAGTGAGGAAATGGATGTTGGGCAGGTCTCCTAGCTAGGACAGAGCATAGCTGCTGTAACAAAGATTCCCTACACTTCTGGGGCTTAAAGAAGAGAGAAGATTATTTCTCACCTAGCAGTTCGGGGTTGGTGGTGGCTCTCCTCATGCCAGCAGTCAGAGACCTGGATTTTTTTTTTTTTTTTTTTTTTTAAGATTTATTTATTGGGGCACCTGGGCAGCTTCGTTGGTTAAGCATCTGCCTTCAGCTCAGGTCATAATCCCAGAGTCCTGGGATCAAGTCCCGTATCAGGCTCCCTGCTCAGCAGTGAGTCTGTTTCTCCCTCTCCCTCTGCCCCTCCCTGCTTGTACTTGCACTCTCTCTCAAATAAATAAATAAAATCTTTAAAAAAAAAAGATTTATTTATTTACTTATTTTAGAAAGAGAATGAGAGCAAGCGGTGGGGAGGGGGGGCGCAGAGGGAGAAGGAGAGAATCTCAAATGGGCTCCACATCGAGTGCAGAGCCCAATGTGGGGCTTGATCCCATGACCCTGAAATCACAACCCAAGTGGAAATCAAGAGTCAGAGGCTCAACCGACTGAGCCACTCAGGCCCCCCAGAGACTTGGACTTCTTTCCTTTGTTGCTCTGCCATGCCCTAGGACACTTCTAACATACGCATGGTTGAAACTGGGTCTCAGTGGGTTTTGGCTCGTAGGAGAATTGCCTTGCTTTGGGTTTCTCTGCAGGTTCTGAGGCAAGGGGTCAAGTTCAAGTCAACTGCTTAGGAGGCGATCCCAGGAAGCATCTGTAGTGGACGTGGGGAAGTGTGATAGGAGAGAGCAGACAGCCAATAAAGGGAATATAATCAAGGAAGTTACTACTGTGGCAACCGGAGCTTGATCCTAGTGGGGATTTCTGGGAAATGGTATAGACGTGCCTCAGTGTTACCCTACTTGAGAGCATAGGAAACCATTTGTCCACTAACTCCCCATCCCTGGGGATTTAGTTGAGGGTGCTGGCATTGGGGGCGTTCGTTTCTGGGCCCTTCCA